GCTTTTGCCGCTGAGCTAAATCCCCAGCCCCTTCCCTTTACTTATAAATGCCTGAAGTTTATCTTTCTTTATGGTAGTACTCCACTATGTGTAAATACCGTATTTTTCTTATCCATTTGATTAATGGACATACATGCTGTTTCCCAGAACTACTATAAATCGTGCTGCTGTAAACATGAGTATGCATGGATCTTCCTAATTTGATAAACTCTTTTAGGAAGATATCTAGAAGGGGAACAATTGGGTGAAATGGATTTTTTTTTTTTTTTTTGAGACAGAGAGTCTCACTGTGTAGTGCAGGCTGGCCTTGAACTCATTCACGTAGCTCAGGCTAGCCTCGAACTCATTCACGTAGCTCAGGCTAGCCTCACACTCACAGCAGTCCTCCTGCCTCAGCCTCCTGAGTGTTGGAGTTACAGGCATACACCACCATTCCCAGCCCTGGAATTGCTATTTTTAGTTTTTTGAAGAATCTTCATAAGGATTTCCATGGTGGTTTTACTTGCTTGCATTCCCACCAGCAGTGTAATGGAGTTCCTTTTTCCCCACATCCTTACCCCAACACTTGTTATTAGATTTTTTGATAATAGCTGTTCTTCCTGGGGTAAGATAGTATCTCAAGTATAGTTTTAATTTACGTTTCTCTGATGTCCAGCAATGATGAGCTTTTAAAAAGCGTATTTAGTAGCCATTTGTATTTCTTCTTCTGAGAAGTATCTGTTCATCTTGGTTGATTGGGTCCTTTTTTTGAGGGGTGGCCCTAGTATTTTTGGAGTTCCTTATATATTCTTGATAATAGTCCTATCCATGGAATAGCTGGCAAAAACCATTTCTCATTCCATAGGTTGTCTCTTCTCTCTATCGATTATTTCCTTTGCTGTGCAGAAGCTTTTTAATTTGCATGATTCCATTTGTTGATCCTCATTATTCTTGTGCCATTTTGGTTCTGTTCAGAAAGTCTTTGCGCATCCCTGTCTTCAAGAGTTGTATCTATTTTAGCTTCCAGTATATTGTTTCTATTTTAACATAGAGATCTTTGACCCATTTTGGTTTTAGTTTAATACATGGTGAAATCTGTGGATCTAGACTCAATCTTCTGCATATGGGTATCCAGTTTTCCCAGCACCATTTCTTAAAGAGGTTAGCTTTCCTCCAGTGTATATTTTTGGCTCCTTTGTCCGAGATCAAATAGTTGTACATGCCTGGCGTTGTATCTGCTTCTTTTCTTCTGTTCCATTAATCTACATGCCTGATTTTGTGCCAGTACCATGCTATTTTAATCACTGTAGTTTTATAGTATAACTTTAAGTCTGGGATTGGTTTTGTTTTGTGTTTTGAGACAGGGTCTCACTGTGCAGTTCAGGCTGGCCTTGAGCTCACTTTGTAGCCCAGGCTGGCCTCAAACTCACAGCTATCCTGCCTGAGCCTCCTGAGTGCTGCAAGTCTGGGATTGTGATGCCACCTCTTTTACTCTTGTTACCCAGGGTTGCTTTTGCTTTTCTGGGTCTCTTCTGATTCCCTGTAATTTTAGAATTGTTTTCTCTAGCTCTGTCAGAAAATGAGATTGGTATTTGATTGGGATTGCATTAAATCTCTATATCAGTTTTGGAAGTGTAGTTATTTTGATTATGTTGGTTCTGCCTAACCAGGAACAGGCGATATATTTCCATTTTCTGATATCCTCCTCGATTTCCTTTTTTAGTCTGATGTAATTTTCATTGTGTATGTCTTTCGTTTTCTGATTAGGTTAATTCTAAGTATTTAATTTTTTTTTTTTGTCCTATTTTTCCTTTTTAAGGCTAAGTAATAATCTGTTTTATGTATAGGACACATTTTGTTTATCCATTCAGCCAAGCACAGTTGGGTTGCCTGTACCTGATGGCCTTTGTAAACTCAGATTCCTTTTTTAGGTTCTTTTGGATATATACGCAGAAGTGGAGTTGCTATATCGTGTGGTAGCGCTACTTCAAATTCTTTGATGAACTGCTTGAGGGCTACATCAATTTGCATGCCCTCCACAAGTGTTAAGTCCAGTTTTTGTCTTCATCATGGTTATTTTTTTGTTTTTACATTTATAATAGCTGTTATAATGGTTGTGGTTTTGAGTCCTATTTCTCTAATGATTAGTGATGTTGAACATCTTTTCATGGGCATATTGGCTGTTACCTCTGAAGAAATATCTGTTCAAGTTCTTTGCTCATTTTTTTTATTTTATGGAAAAAAAGATAAAATTCCATAACAAAATAATAGAATAACAGTAGTTAATATTTTACCTGTTGTTATCTTTAAAGTAGTTGCTCAGGATAAAAGATAGGGGCTACAAATTTCTCCAATTGATATTAGCACAAATCTTCCTTCATAATGACTTAAGAGACACTGATAGTATAACTGACCAGCATTTTTTTCCCCTTTTCCCTACTGTCCTTACCCCTTTCACCCATCCCAGGTCCTTTTTTCCTTTTGAACAATTTCTTCCCATTTCACAGTATCTCTTGTACATTTTAGACCTTTTTTACTTTCAATTTCTCACACAGGGATTTTTTTTTTTTTTTAAAGGGTCTTGCTATACAGTTCAGGTTGGCCTTAAACTGTGTAGCCTGGGCTGGCCTCAAACTTTCAGCACTCCTCCTGCCTTAGCCTCCTGAGTGCTGGGATTACAGGCACCAATTTCTTAAAAAACACGGTCCTATGGTTAATGGATGGCCTTGGCCCTTTGTGGGAGGTCATTTGGCCGTACATGTGAAGGTTATTCCGTTCCATTGGTCAGGGCTCTGATTTATCATTGCACACTCTTGATTGCTATAGCTTTGTAGTACGTGTTGAAAGCAGGAAGTGTGAGACCCTCAACTTTGTACTCTGCCTTTTCTCTTTTTTGTATTCTTGATATAATATGAGTGGTAGATAGCTAGTTAACTAGTTATGAGAGTTAGCTGGCTGACTCTTTATCTGTGTAAAGAAATGAGCTGTGTCATATCAGGAGATGCTTACTGAACACCTGCTCCATGCTGTGCACTGGTCAGGGTGTTGGGAAATACAGAGATGAAGAAGATGACTTCTCCCCTCACAAAGTGGTTTTGAGAATGGGAAGAGTAGGCAGCAAACAGAAAAGCAGATAAGGTGCAGAGGTAATGCTGAAGCAGAGCACATGCCTGGTGTACATAAGGCCCTGGGTTTGAGCCCAAGCACCACCCTAAAAAAGCAGAGCAATTATAGGTAAGAGGTTATAGCAAAAGCAGTTATAGGTAAGAGGCTATGAAACTCTGAAGAAGATAGTAGCCGGGAAACATAGTTGTTGCTGAAGCTAGGGGAGTTAGCGAAGGTCCCCTGAGAACGGGACATTTCATTGAGACCCACTAATGAGAAAGGCAGCCATGCGGACAAGATTTAGAGGAACTGTGTTCTAATGAGTGGAAACAGCAAATGGAAAGACACTGGGGGATACTTAGGTCTGGTAAGCCAGATGAGACTGCGTCCCAGGGTTAACCCTTTAGTCCTTGATACCGAGACTGCCTTTCAGATGTGATAGAAATCACTTGTCACCTCTCTTGGGATAGGATTTGAACTTTCTGGGACATTGATGCTAGACTCATGCGCAGAATTGTTGCTGATTGTGTAGGTAGTGGATGTCGAACTCCATCGGCACTCTCTCGGAGAAGACTCCGTTTACCCTCAGTCCTCTGAGTCAGACGTCTCTGACGCCCCTCCATCTTTACCTTTGACCATTCCAGCCCCAGTGAAGGCTTCTTCACCCATAAAGCAGTCCCTCGAGCCAGTTCCTGACACCTCTGTGGAGAAAGGTAAGGCAGCATTTTCCTTCTGTGGAGTCGATCTCGGGGGCTTTTCCCTCATTTGCACAATAGTTGCCTTCAGCAACTTCAAGTGGATGGAAAGTAAATTTTTCCTAAGTAGGTGTGCTGCCTGTGCCTCTGCCTCTGCCTCACAGTTCTATTATCACAGTAGCAAACTGCTGCTTTTCTCAGAAACTGCTTTTCCTGTAGCGTTCTACCAAGATTTTATAAAATGCAGATGTCCCTGAAAATCAGGACTAAATATTTGGGGTTTTGTTGTTTTTCAGTACTGAGGATTGAACTGAGGGGTGATCTACCCCTGAGCTATGTCCCCAACCTTTTTTGTTTTTCATTTTGAGACAGAGTCCTGAAGTGCCCTGGCTGGCCTTGAACTTGAAATTTCCTGCCTTGGCTTCTTGAGTAACTGGGACTACGGGCATACGCCACTGCACCCAGCTAAAAAACACTAGATATTTGTCCTTTGCTGAAGATTGTATGGTTCAGCTTCCACTTTTGTGCACAGGATAATTGAGTATTAAATGCCTACTCTTACTTAAAATACTGTTCAGCATCAATAAATTTTTTTTGGCCATGCCATTTTCTTCATTAAATAAGTATATACATATGTATTTAAATGTTCTCATATATAAGCATGTAAGATATAAAATTGATTCTAAGTGGTGTAAGTTTTATCTTGGCATACATTTTAATGTGATAATATTTTAGTTCTTTCATAGAATCTTTCATTTTTGTATATTATAGTTGTATCCTCTTTATGCGCGTTTAATGAGTAAGGAGATCAATAGATTAAGTAAATGCCTTCTGAGTTATCTACTCTATAGACAGTTTTTCAATTCATGTATTAGGGGGCTGGGGATTTAGCTCAGCGGCACAGTGCCTGTCTGGCAAGCACAAGGTCCTGAGTTTGATACCCGGTACCAGAAGAAAAACAAGAAAAACAAATCAATCCATGTATTAAAAAGTGAAGAACGTAATGAATGTGTGTTCTTTTTATATTTTACATGGTTAATGTTTTCTAATTTCTTAGAAGACCTTAAATAGGATTCTAAACATGATTTTACTTCCCACCAAAAAATATGAAAAGGTAATCAATTATTTTACTACCAGTAATTGGTTTAAATAAGTATTGAATAGTGAATAATATAGTAATATTTTTATTCTTTTGCCATATGGTAAGGTTTTGTTATTTCAAAATAACTGATGACCTATCATGTGCTTGTTAAATTTCAAACAGGATTCCCAGCCAGCACTGAAGCTGAGAGACACACTACATTTTATGCTTTGCCATCTTCTTTGGAAAGAACACCCACTAAAGTGACAGCATCCCAGAAAGTTACCTTCTGTTCTCATGGCAATTCAGCTTTCCAGCCAATAGCATCAAGCTGCAAAATTGTACCACAAAGTCAGATTCCTAATCCTGAGTCACCTGGAAAATCTTTCCAGCCCATTACCATGAGCTGCAAGATTGTTTCAGGTATGCAGAAGGTGCGCGTCAGGTGACTAGAGGTTAGAATTGTGGGAGTGGAGTTCTTTTTAGCAGTGCTTATCCAAAGATGTAATCACCATTGATTGGCAAATTGTAACAATGAAAAATACAACTCACGTAGTTGTTAAGTGTGGTGAGGAAATGAAACCCCAAATGGTCAGATTCTTATCTCCTAAAATTAGCACAGGTCAGTTTTTCCTAGGACATATGACGAAGCTAAGTTAGGAAATGAGTGTGGGGATTTAGAATGAGCTTGGAGTTAAGCTTTAAAGGGTTGGAATTGAAATATTTTTTATTCTGTCACACTGGAAAATTACTCATTCCTATGATCAGTAGTTGGTCTAATGCTTCCTTTCACTGCAGTTAGATTGTCCTTTGCCTTGTGACAGTGTCATCTTTATGTTAATAGGAACACACACTGTGGTTTTGGCTGTACTATTTTTATTTATTTATTTATTTTATTTTTTTGTTTTTGAGACAGGGTCTCACTATAGAGGTCAGGCTGGCCTTGAGCTCACTTTGTAGCCCGGCTGGCCTCGAACTCACAACGATCCTCCTGCCTCGTTGGCTGTACTTTAGAAAAGACGAGTAAAGGGGCAGTTGAAAACATCTAGATGGGCGAGTACTTCTATACAGTACTTAAATGAAGGAGGAAAACAAGAGTTTTTGGTGCTAAAAGTGAACAACTAAGCAGAAACATGGTCCAAATCTTGATAAAAGATAAATTGTAATTTTACCCACCAGTTCCAGTTTTGGACCTTAGTGCTTCAAAGAGGAAATAGATGAACATAGAAATGAGTTTAAAGCTAGGTGTGGTGCAAGCCTGTAATCCCAACACTGAAGAGACTGAGGCAGGAGAATTGCCCCAAGTTTGAGGCCAGCCTGGGCCACATACTGAGTTCAAGACTAGCCTGAACTATATAGCAAGACCCTATCTCAAAAACTAAAAAAAAACACACACACAAAAAAATAGAGCTAAGTGGCATAGCACCTGCATGGCAAGGACAAGGTCCTGGGTTTGATTCCCGGTACCAAAAAAAAAAATTAAAAATAAGTAAAAAATAAAAAAGAAATGAGGCTGGGAATGGTAGTGTATGCCTGTAATCCCAGCACTTGGGAGACTGAGGCAGGAGGTTCGCTGCATGTTCGAGGCCAGTCTGGGCTACAAAATGAGTTCAGGGCCAGCCTGAATTGCATAGTAAAATCCTGTTCAAAAAAAAAAGGAGAGAAAGAAAGAAAAGAAATGAGTTTGAAGTTCAGAGAAAAACACAGATGACACGTTTGATCAATAAGGCCACCCACAATGAGTAATCTTAGAGCTATCCTGTGAGAACATGAGTCTTTCTGGATTGTGGCTGTGATGCAGTGTTGACAGTTTGTCTTGAGTAGGCGAATTGCAGTTTTCCTATATTGAATACTTTGCAAATCAAAGCGTCAGGTTCCTAAGTCTGGCAGTTCGCTTACTAATTTTCCCCTAATTTTAGTGTTTTTGAGTATACCCAGCATGACAGCAACCTGCCTGTGATAGTAAGAGGCTCATCGTACCAAAGTGCCGCAGTTCCACGTTGTTAAATAAAGCACTGCTTTTTAAACTTTAATGTGCATGCCAGAAGGTATTGTTCAAATGCAGGATATGTACTTAGTAGCCCTGGGTTTGGACCGTGGAATCGCCTTCCCATGAGTTCCGCGGGGATGCTGCTGCTGCTGGTGCACAGATTAGGACGCGGAGTGAAGCGCTCTGCTCCCTGGCTTCTCCTGTACCACTGCTGTCACTGCTCAGTACCTGAAGCTACAGTCAGTCTCATTCCAGGCTTTCTTCCCAGCTAGCCACCTTTGTCCCCTCCCTCCCTCCCTTCTTTCTCTCTCCCTTTCTCCCTCTCCTTTCCTTTTCCTTTTCTTTTCTCCTTTCTCCTTTCCTGTGCTGGGGGTTGAACCCAGGCCCCTTCCCCTTAGCTGCATCTCCAGCCTTTTTTATTTTGAGACAAGATCTCACTGAGTTGCCCAGGCTGGACTTCAATTTGTGATTCTCCTGCCTCAGCCTCTCAAGAGTGCTGGGTTACAGGCATGTGCCACCACGTGTGGCTTCAGCATCTTCAATGAGTGGAATATATATATTTTGTTTCTCTTGTCTAATTGACAAAGGTTCCCCAATATCAACTCCAAGTCCGTCACCATTGCCGCGAACCCCAACTTCCACTCCAGTCCATGTGAAGCAGGGCACAGCCAGCTCCGTTATAAATAACCCTTACGTTATTGTGGATAAGCCGGGGCAGGTTATTGGAGCCTCTGTTGCGAGTACAGGTACGTATCTGGTCAGTATTTGTGCAATTCAAATACTATTGTCTCTCATTAAAGACAAAGTCCTAGTGTGACTTAGTAGCCATGAAGTAGAATGAAATCTCCATCCATAAGTAAGAACATATAAAAGTAACATCAATACTGTTTCTCTGAGGGAAGATTTAATCTTTGTAAAAGTTACATTTTTAAGCCGGGCGTGGTGGTGCACGCCTATCATCCCAGCACTCGGGAGGCTGAGGCAGGAGAATCCTTGGGAGTTCAAGACCGGCCTGGGCTACAAAGTGAGCTTAAGGCCAGCCTGAACTGCGTAGTGAGACCCTGTCTGAAAAAGACCCCCAAAAAAAGTTACATTTTTAAGAATTAATAGTGAACCATAACTAATTTTCTTTTCCTTTAGAATGGAAGTTCTTGTTTTGGAGCCCGCAAGTCATGTGATTTTAACATTTCCAGTTGAGCCTTTGAGATGATGATAGCTTTGTTGGCCATATACACTTCTCTCAGTATCACAGCGTGATACCTTTCCTCCAAATAAGATAATCCCATCTAACTGTAGTGCTTTGTAAAAAGATTTTTTGGTGTTCTTTCACAAGTATTATTTTATTTATTCCCTCTACTTAACATGTTCCCAAGTGTAAACTTCCCCATTTAAGAAAAATAGTGGAAAGAGAAATGAAACAAAATAAAAACAATTATAAGATAGTAAGACTGTTTTGTTGTGTGTTTTCTTGTGTTTCTTGAGACAGGGTCTTGCTGTGTAGTGTAGGTTGGTCTTAAACTATATGTTGCAGACGGGTCTCAACTTGTGGCAATCTTGGTGCCTCGGCCTCCTGAAGGCTGAGATTGCGGGAGTGTGCCACCATGCCCAGCTGGGTTATTTTGGTTTTTGTTTTAATGTGTTGGATTTAACATACATTCACATATGTTGGGCTTTCCCAAGTTGTTGTTATTGTTGTTGCTTTTTTGAAGTTGCTTCACTAGGTCTGTTATTGTTGTTGCTGGGCGCTTTACACAGTTACAATTCTCGAACCCCTATTAAAAAAGCACTGCTTTGGGGGCTTTGCTAATAACCTTTTGAACATATTTTTGATGAGGATGATTAGTATTAGGAATCAGCCACAGTCTTTAGTGGCAAGTTTAGGAAATGGAGCAGGTGAATGAACACCATTTTAGGTCTTGGTTTACTACTGACTATTAATAATGTGATTTATTTTTATCAGACCCTCAAAGTTGTGCAGAGAGTTGTAAAACATGTAATGTGGGCAGCATTTGGGGATAGGCGAGACCTAGTGAAGCAGCTTCGCAGGAGCTGGCATTCAGTGGGGTGCACACGTTCTTGCCCATTTGTAAGAGGCCCAAGCCCTCATGTTCTGTACATCTTCTGTCAGGAGTGGAGGGTATAATGTGTGCTTGTCCTCTGTCCTTACTAGCTTCTTACCCTTTCTCAGTTTGAGCATGTCATCAATTTTCTGGGGCTGAATCTTCAAGTATTTTTTTCCATAGTAGTTTCAAGGGTTGGAAATTTTCAGCTCCTAAAAATGGAAAAGAAAGCCAGGTGTGGTGGCTCATGCCTATAATCCCCACACTCTAGGAGGTTGAGGCAGGATTGCAAGTTTGAGCCCAGCCTAGGCAACTTAGCATGAGATCTTACCTCAAAATAAAAATTTTAAAAAGGGCTGGGAAATACTTTAGTGCGAAGGTCTTAGGTTTAATCCCCAGTACTGCACGTACACATAAAAGAAAAATAAGTAGTGGGAAAGTGGGAAGGGTAGCGGGAAGGGTTTAAAATTACATTTTGTAAAACTTAACTTTGTTTATACTTAATTTTTATGTCTGCCTTGTTTATTAGGAAGTCCTACAAACAAGCTCTCCACGGCTTCTCAGGTCTCCCAAGGAGCAGGTTCCCCTGTTCCTAAAATTCATGGAAGTAGTTTTGTAACATCTGCTGTCAAGGTAAAACTTCCCGCATCCTTGTGCTTTGCTGGTTTCTGAAGGCAGTGTGTGCTGCCTCGGCAAGTGTCGATGGGCAGGGAGTTCATGGCGCACACACTGAGTATCCCGAAGAGCGTCTGCTGTAGCTTCCGCCACCTCCCTGCTCTTCTCCCAGCACCTCTATCAGATGGTCACCCAGTAGGAGGTTGAAAACTTAGTGTGGTGAAGAGGTGGCCTTGTTTACCTTTTTAGAAGGGACAGCTTTGTTAAAAACATTTCCCTATAAGATATTCATCGGACAGATGTTCATTTTTCCTCCTTTTCTGAGGAGTAAATGTATTTCCTTTTCCATGTGTTAGCCGTTTAGTTACTTGAAAATAACTCTCCACAAGGTTTTTTTGGTGTCTGTTCTTCAGAGTGAGCAGTCCTTTAAAATTTGGCACCCCAAATAAGCAAATGCTAAGTATCTGCCTGCCACTTGGCAAAGACACTTCCCTGGGTTTTGATTCGTCATCCAGCTTGTTCGTTATGGCCACCGTAACTCTGAAGCCCTTGAGGTATAAACTGTTATCCAAGGAGTCCTGAGAATGCACAGGTCCTCTCTCCTACAGGAATAGTGCCAAACAGCGCGTCTTCTGTTTAAATCCTTAGTCATGATGATCTGGAATGGTTTTCCTCTAGACTTTGTACAGTGTGTGAGTACTGTGTTATGTGAATGTCTCGATTATAGTAACTCTCTTGAAGGTTTTAACTTTGCCAGGTTTGGGGTTTTCTGTGATGCTGAGGATGGAACCCAGGACTCTCAATGATCTATATCCCCAGCCTTTTTTATCAAGTCAGGCTCTTGCTCCGTTGCCCAGGCTGGCCACCTGCCACACAGATGGCATTACAGGCACACATTGCTTCACTGGGCTGGCGACTGTTTTTAATGTTCATTGATGAACTTTTCAGACATAGTCAAGAAATGTGCTTAACCCTGAAATTGAATTATAACACATTACCTCTGAGACTTGCAATTTTGTCTTTCAGAATTAGAGACAAACACTTGTGGTGACCACAATTAAAAAGAACATTAGTGGAACTTTGCACCTACTTGTTTCATTTACTTAGTGCCGAGGGATACAGCAGAAACAAAGTATAGCCCCTGTTCTCTAACAGGTTGCTGTCTGCAGGGGACAGGAAACTAGACGCATGCAAGGCAAATGACAACCAGGTATCAGAGGCTATAGGGTAGGCATGTTTTCATCAGATAGCAAGACACATGAGCATATTTTTGCTAAGTTACAGCTTTTCATTGCATTTGGTCTCTAAAATGCAGGTGTAGCCGGGCATGGTGGCACATGGCTGTAATCCCAGCACTTGAGAGGCTGAGGCAGGATAAGGTCAAGACCAGCCTGGGCTACAAAGTGAATTCAAGGCCACCTGGAACTGCATATTGAAACCTTGTCTCAGATACAATACAGTACAATACAATACAGTGCAGGTGTAGAGACTAGGAGCGTGCCTCAGAATTTTGGGCTGTTTTGTTTTATTTTGCTTGTTTATGTGGCTCAAGAGCGCCATGGGTTTGTATTAAATATAAGTGATCAGAATATCTGAAAGCCCCCATTTTGGCCTGGCTGCACAATACGTATTTTTGTACACACAGCAGGAGGATTCTTTGTTTGCATCTATGCCACCTCTTTGCCCAATTGGGAGTCACCCTAAGGTTCAGAGCCCCAAACCTATAACTGGAGGACTTGGAGCTTTCACAAAAGTGAGTATTGTTTAGGGCGTTGTCCTTCGGGTCTGTATAGTCTTGTTACATAGTCCTTTTGGTGGCGTGTTGGAGTTAACCCCCCACCCCAGCATGTATGTCTCAGTTCTAAGATCAGGCCCTTGTTCTGAGACTTGATTCCATTTACGTAGCATCGTCTGCTTTCTTAGAGCCCAGCAACTGGGGAGTTCAGAAACACAAACAGCCTGTTGTTTCTTTCTGTGTCCATTTTGCCACCAATCTCTAAAACTTGTGATGGAGGCACAGGATCAAGTCCAGGTGCTACTGCTGGTCCCTTTAATAGCTGTTAGAGGCTGTGTTTAAGCAGTATTTTACCCTTGTTCTAGGGTCACTCTAATAAAGCTTAGTCTCAAGCCTTTATTATTAATCCCCACACACAGAATAGGTGTGGATGCTGGTAGTTTTCTCCCACGGGATATTTATTCAGTGTCATGTTTGTTGCAAGGTGATCATCAAACAGGAGCCTGGTGAAGCCCCTCACGTGCCCACAACAGGAGCTGCCAGTCAGTCACCACTTCCTCAGTATGTGACTGTGAAAGGGGGTCACATGATAGCTGTGTCCCCTCAGAAACAAGTCATAACTACTGCAGAAGGGACTGCCCAGTCACCAAAGATTCAGCCCTCCAAGGTTTGTGTGGGGTAGGGGTTGGGAGTTCAGCGTACCAATGAACATGGTTTGTCTAAGTAGTTGACAAGCACTGAAAAGGTTTGGGGTGACAGAGTTGCTGTCCCATAAAATGCTGTGGGTAATAGTCTGTTTGGAAAAGCAGGTCAGTTGATGGTGAGCTCTCTGCCCATAGCATCTCTTTCAAGAGTAGCGCATGTATCGTAGACAGTCCAGAAAGAGTTCCAGTGGCAAAGGGTGGCGGTGTCCTCACGGAGTGAGAGGGACAGGCCTCGGAGACACAGCTTTCCCCTTGATTCAGGTCTAAAGTGCCACTACCGTTTCACTTGTTTGAGATAGGAGAGTGCTACAGTTTATTGCTCTGGTATCCAGGCTCCGTTTAGTGATTCTTGGCTCTTTAGAGAAGTACTTTTCCTTATAATTTAGAGATACCGGAGAATTGTTGGGAAACTGTAAGGCAGATCTGTGTTTTCCTGCATTGACTGGAAAGAGAATCTGTTGAGTGCTTGTGTGTGCAGGCTCATGTTTACACATTAGCCGTGATCCTCACACCACCTTGCAAGGTGGTATTTTCACCTGTGTTTTACAGATGGAGAAACTGTGGCCCTGAGAGGTTAAGCAGCCCCTTAGGCAATATAACAACCATTGTTGAATCCCTACTACCTTGATTTGTGAAACTCTGTATTGTTTCTCATTTTTTTATTATATTTTATTCTTTTAAATTATTTGATCAATGTTTTATTCTTACATCTAGTAATCTGAGCAACTTCGTTGAAGATAGCATGTATTATAACAAACCATTGTTAACTTCCTATCACCTTGTTTTGAAATTCTGTATCACTTTTATTGTTTTTGTGTTGTTTTTGTTTTGGTTGTTAGTTTTCTTTTCTCTTTAAAATAAAAAAACAAACAAACAAAAAAAGAATACATGGCTAGCAAGCAACAAGAGGATTAACCCCAGATCTCGTTATTCTAGCTTCCTATTCCAGGACTGGGAGAAGTTAGTGAGACATTGTCTGTAACTCCACATACTTAAGAGCATCGAGATAAAATAATTATCTGTGTTTCAGCAAGTATGTTTTGAAGCTACTGAGAGTATTTTGTGGGTATTTTTCAACCTGACGGTCATATTTTCTAGGGAGAGTGAATTGTTGGAGAGGAGCACTGTATTCTAAAATAGAAAAAGGCTTTGGATAATTTTGACTAGTTAAGAGACCTAGATACAGACTGATAAAAATTCACAGTAGTGTCTGGTAAGAATCACCTGCAGCTCTAGGAAGTGTTATACCTAAGGCATCGCTCATGAAGCAGAATCCCCTGTGAGGAGGGGTGTCCTCAGAATCCACATTTCTGATAAGCTCTCCTGCTCATTTATGTGCTTAGACAGGTACAGAAAGCATGGAGCTATAGCATCAAGTTTGATTTTGGTGCTTTTGTAGGCAAAACCAGAGTTAAACATTTTGTCGCAGTCCTTCAGCGAATCAATTATTGTCATCTCCACTTTTGTTCAGACTTGTCTTACATGTTCCTCAAAGTCTGCTTTGCTTCAGAGAAGAACATGTGATTTTCCTGGTGTAGGGCGTATGTAGTTTTTTTTGTTTTGTCTTGTTTTGTGTTTTGCTTTTTTGGAGATGAGGTTTCGCTAGGTAGTTCATGCTGGTCTTGAACTCACGAGGGAGCCCAGGCTGCCCTCGAATTTGCGTCAGTCCTCCTACCTTATTGTCCCAAGTGTTGGGATTACAGGTGTGCATCACCACAGCCAGCTTCCAGTTTAGGCTTTGAATCAGTCTGGCATTGCTGTTGATGTTCAGAAGTTCTAGGATAGTTCAGTCTCCACTGTTTGCCACTTTGCATTTTGCCAGTCCATTCAACCATCACTGTTGAGCAACCATTCTGTCTTGCCACATCACCACCTATGTACTGGTAGTAGAAGACTAAGAGAGCGCAAGTGGGCTTGTGCTGGCATGCCCAGAACAAGGCTTAACCACAGCAGAGTGAAAGAACTGCAGAGAAGGAGCTGATGAAAAAGCATTGCTCTAGCTGGGCGTGGTGGCACACGCCTGTAATCCCAGGTGCTTGTGGAATGGGAAGAGGAGAGAAGGTGGTATGCAAGTTGGGAGGCTGAGGCAGGAGGATCCTTGCGAGTTCAACACCAGCCTGGGCTACAGAGTGAGCTCAAGGCAGCTTGAACTGCGTAGGGAGACTCTGTTTCAAAAAAGACAAAAAAAAAAAAAAAGAAAGAAAAAGAAAAAGCATTATTCTTTCCCAAGAACTTAGTAGATGTTTGGACTTGACATAAGGAACTGTCTGTAAGTACAGACTGGGCCTGGTTATTATTCAAGTGCATTTGTAGAAACTGCCGAAAATGGGAAGCTAGAAAAAGTGGTCATTTGCCCTCCACACAATTTTGGCAAAATAGAACTACAGCTTCTTTTTTTACTTTTATTTTTTTATGAAAGTGGAGAGAGGTTTTCCCTCTAACAGGAAGAGACAGCTGAAGATCTGCATGGCAAGGAAGCAGTGTGGCTTTGTGAAAGGCAGTGAGCTTTGGAATTAGCTTCTTACTTGTGTCACCTGGGCCATCTGTTACTGGGGTGACCTGGGCAGGTTATTTAATCTCTCTGGACCCTGTTCTTTTTATCTCGTCAAAGGAATAATGCCTCCTTTCAGGCCTGCAGGAGAATGCGAGTTTGTGTATAAAGGACTTAGCAGGGGCCATGATCGGTAGGTGGTGACTGTGTGATGTGTGGAGACAGGCACAGGTGCCATGGGGATGGTTACTGGGCACGAATGGCTGTGGTTTGAGTAGGCAGCGGGCAGGTCATAGACCCAGAATGTTCTCCTTGGGGCGCTGCGTTCTGACTTGCCTCAGGTGTGCACACAGCTCCAGGAGGGAGAATAGAAACACCGGCGCGGTGTGCATCCAGGTGAACTGCAGAACAAAGGTTTCGTGCTTCATAAAGCTAGGAGGAAATCAGCACCTCCCAGAGAGGTGCTTGTGGAATGGGAAGAGGAGAGAAGGTGGTATGCAAGTTCACGTTGTCGGCCGAAATGTATTGTTGAAGAGGCAAATGAATTTGCCATCATAGTGTGTTCTACTTAAAGATCTTCCTTCTTTTTTTTGGTGCCCATGGTCAGCTGTGCGTAGAGTTTTTCCCTATGGATGTAGACTTCTCAGTTTTTCTTTTCCAGAGAAGGAGGGCATTGGCCACTATGCCTAGTGGATAATGTCTGCTGGTAAAGACTGCCCTCCTGTGGCTGACTCCGGATGCCATGTTTTGTCAGGCTCTTGGAGAAAGTTGAAGTCCACTCTGTTCTTCCTAAAAACACCACTGTTGTGAATTTGATATGTGGTTTTCATGACCTAAACACATAGCCATAGAAGACATACAGTGTTTGTGTTTTGGAGATTTACATAAGATACACTTTTCTGCAACTACGTTTATACAGACATTTGTAGTCCTCATCCATTCATTTAGATTAGAAAGAGATGTAACAGGTAACTTTTCTTTTTTTCTTCTTCTTTTTTTTTTTTTTTTCCTGTACTGGGAGTCAAACTCACAACCTCGCACTTGCCAGGCAGGCGCTGTGCCGCTGAGCTAAATCCCTAGCCCCAGGTAACTTTTCTTAAAAATCAGTTGGAGCTGGATGTGGTGGCACATACCTGTAATCACAGCACTCAGGAGGCTGAGGCAGGAGAACTCACTGTGAGTTTGAGGCCAACTTGGGCTACATAGTTGTTCTAATGTTTTATTTGGTCAGCTAAAAATGTTTTTGAAATATAAGATGTCAGCTAATAAACACTACTGAACTAAACGTACAGCATGGTCCCAATTTTGTGTTTTAAAATATGTATTAGAAGGAATTGGAAAAAAATATATTTAAAATATTGACAGATTATTTCTTGATGCGCAGAATTTTTCTTTAAACTTCTTTTATTTCCCAAATTTACAAAAGTCATATTACTTTATAATCAAAATAAGTTCTAAAAAGTAGTTGAAGTTAAGATAACAGTCTTCAAGCTTTTATTATTAAATTCAAAGCATAAGAAATACCGTTATCCTGCCTGCCCAGGCAGCCTTCCGAGAGTGTGGACCTGGATGCCAGCTGTCGCATTCGGGCTCGCCTTGTTCCTTGCTAGAGCAGAGCGGCTGTTCCGGCCCACGAGCACTCATCGTGCCTGAGAGAAACCCGTTCTGCTCTGACCCAAACAGGTTGTTGGGGTGCCCGTCGGGTCTGCCTTACCTTCAGCTGTGAAGCAGGCTGTGGCAATCAGTGGTGGCCAGATCCTTGTCGCCAAGGCCAGCTCTTCTGTGGCCAAAGCAGTTGGTCCAAAGCAAGTTATGACCCAAGGAGTTGCCAAAGCGATTGTGAGCGGAGGTGGAGGGACCATCGTTGCACAGCCAGTGCAGGCCTTGAGCAAGGCGCAGGTCACTGCCTCTGGGCCTCAGAAGAGCGGATCCCAGGGCTCAGGTAACTGTTCACCTGGGGGCTCCCAGAATTTCCTTTGCTAATGATTTGATTTGGTATTGATTTTGAGTAGGAAAGCCTACGAGGTTGATGCTTTCAGGAGTATATAAAGATGTTTGTTCTTTTTCATGGAACATTTTACATAAGGGTTTGTAAGTAGCTTGTTTCCAAATTGTATTTATGTCTGTTTATTACAAATAAGTTCAAGAATAGTAACAACCGAAGGTATTTCTTGATGTTTCTTCAGGTCTAGGCAGGAGCTTGTGCCGCTGAGCTATGTCCCCGGCCCTTCAGGTCTAAACCGTAATTTTCGTCAGTCCTCATCCCCACTTTTGAGTTGTATGTAAGATTTAAAATCCTCACACGGGGGCCAGGGATATAACTCAGCAGTACAGCACCTGCCTGGCAAGTGCAAGGTCCTGAGTTTGATTCCTGGCACCACACAAAAAAATCTTGATATGACCAGTTTACCAGCAGCTTTTTGAGATATTGACTAGAGGCCGGGGATGTAGCTCAGTGGCATAAGCGCTTGCTTGGCAAGCCTGAGGTCATGAGTTCAATTCCCAGTAACCAAAAAAAAAAAAAAGAGAGATACTGACTAGCGTTTCTCTATGAAACAGACACTTGAATGCATTGGATGTATTTTAGCCCTTGAGGTACTGCGTTGCTTCTGTGACGGGGTGGGGTGGGGATGGGGAGGACATCAGTGTTTATTTCTAAGGTCCTGACAAGGCCAAAGAATTTTTGCAATGAGTAGGGAGAATAGAACATAACGGATCATAAAACAGAGATTTCAGAGGTAGCACAGTGCTGACGATGCCGACGCCATTCAGGTTGCGGCTTTGAGAGTAAATGCTTGAGATTGTAAGATGTGGTCTTCAGGGTTTAGGAGGTCGGTGGGTTTTTTGTTTTTGTTTTTTGAGGCATGCTTTGTAGTTCAGGCCCTGAATTCACTATGTAGCCCAGGCTGGCCTCAAACTCGCGCAGTCCTCCTGCTTCCACTCCTGAGTGCCGGCATTACAGGCGTGCGCCACCGTGCCCGGCAACACAGTACTTTTGGGAGGATAGTACCAGTAATTACAGTGAGGGCTGAGGCTTATACAATGTAGATAGCATTAGCACACGTGCGTCCTAAGGCCCACAGTAATCTTTACAATGAGGCTTGGGTGTAAACTAGCATTGAACTATTCTAGGCAGAACCGGGACATGTAATCAGCTTGTGGTGGTTTTTGTTTTTTGTTTTTTTTTTTTTTTTTGGTACTGTGAATCGAACTTACGACCTTGCACTTGCCAGGCAGACACTTATGCCACTGAGCTATATCCCCGGCCCAATTAGCTTGTTTATAAACAGCATAAATTAGTTTTTGGTAGGCTCTTCTGGTATGTAGATACTTTTTAGTTGGGAAGATATTTTAAGGGTATTAGCCTGTTTTTTCTCGCAGTACTGGGAATTGAACCCAAGGCTGTCATAGTAAGCTACGTCATCATCCCTTTTTAGTTCTTGGTTTGAGATAATTTCCCCGTAAATTAGTTGCCCAGGCTGGGCTAGAATTTGGGATCCTCCAGACGTGTGCCACCACACCCAGCTGAGTATTAGGCTTTAAAGTATCTAGGAAACATTTACTGTTAGTGTTTTTAAATAAGTGTCCATTACTCTGTAATTTAGACTGTTGTCCATAATTCCACTTTGTCTTACCGTTTCTCTTCCTTTTTCTTCGTTTTCCCCTCTTCACCACTCTAGTAATGGCAACGTTGCAGCTACCAGCCACTAATTTGGCCAACTTGGCAAATTTGCCTCCAGGCACCAAACTGTACCTTACTACGAATAGCAAGAACCCTTCAGGGAAAGGGAAACTGCTGCTGATTCCACAGGGAGCCATCCTGCGAGCGACCAACAATGCCAGTTAGTCCGCCCTTGAATCAGTGGGCCTGGGTCTCTGGTGTGTTCTTCTCAGCCAGCGGAGCGGTGGTTCTTACTCTTCCAGGAAGTGTTTCTTCCGTAATTCCCTAATGGTAGCATTTGCCCACATGGATCTAAAATATACACGTACTCTAACTGGAAATGGGTGTAAGTCATCAGAGTACTGGGCGGTAACACGGTTATCCTGGCTTCCCTGCTCAGAGTTTGGGACCGACCTCAGTGGAGAGGTATGGGTGTGGAGGCTGTGGGGAGGACCTGTCGTGCTGACCTGCAGCTGAAGAGTTCTTCCTTCTGCTGGGTGTTCAGCATTACCCGAGGAACGTCTGTCTCCTTCCAGGGGCTGGGAGCCTGTTTTTATTTTAAAGGAGATGGAATAGTGTTGGAATGAAGCATCTCTATTTGCCATTATTTAGACTTTTTAAATGTGTGCTAGGCTTGGAGGTGGAAGGGGAAGTAAAGGCTCATCCTGAGTGTGTACATGTTAAAGCCCCAAGGAAATTAGAGTTTTATAAATCTTAGCTTTAACATACAGAGAACACCGCTTTGGGTTGTCTAAAAAAGGGAATAGTAAAAGGAATGATTTATTTCCCTATGAATCAGAAGCAGGATGATACAGCAGTCAGGTTTATTAAAAATTAACCAGCCTTGTCAAATGCAGTGTAAGCTGCTCACGATTTGTTTATTCCCTGTGATGAGTCATTGCCACTCGCCATGTGGTATGTTTTCCACATCCCAAAACAGTGGGATGTCAAAAGGTTAGATGAAAAATGACAGTATAAGCATTCCAGAATTCACCCAGAAAGCTACTTAGATTTTTGTGATAGCCTTACGTTCAAAATAAACCACAGTACTTTTGGGAGTATAGAATCAGTAATTACAGTGAGGGCTGAGGCTTAGGCAGTGTAGATAGGATTAGCACACGTGCGTCCCGAGGCCCACATTGAATTTCTTGCATAATAATCAGGGGAATTGAGGTAAGGAGAGAAGTTGAGTATCTGTGGTCCAGGTAGCTCATATATGTGATCTCATAATGTGTTGTAATGTGTCACTGACCTTACTAGAGTGTAAGTAAAGGCTCCATAGGCTTAGAGGTGAAATTTGTTTTTTTGTTTTGTTTTTGTCTTTTTGAGACAGGGTCTTACTATGCAGTTCAGGTTGGCCTTGAACTCACTTTGTAGCCCAGGCTGGCCTTGAACTCGCAAGGATCCTCCTGCCTCAGCCTCCCGAGTGCTGGGATTACAGGCGTGAGCCACCACACCCAGCTAGAGGTGAAAGAACAAAAAAGAACAGGACCCTGGAGCTACTGTCAATGATAGGGTTTGATTAAAGAAAATAGTGTCAGAATTTCCCACAATGAAGTCTAAACACTTGTCAAAGATAAATCCTTCCCTGCACCGAGAGCTGGAAGATAATCAGGTACCATTCGGTAGGGTAAATGTTCCCTATCCAAAATGCTTGGGACTAGAATTTATTTCAGATTTCAGCTTTTTTATTTGCACAGACTTTAGAAGTTGACCGTTCCTAGTCCAAAAATTGGAAATCTCATAGTGCTCAAAAAGTTGGATTTCAGGTTCCAGATTACACATGCTCAGTCTGCAAATAGATTCTCATCTCATTTGCAAACTCCAGGAAATTGTACTCCTGTCACAGAACAGACAGATTGCAGAGGAGGAGGAAGGTGGGAGAGGAGAGGGAACGGTGCGGGAAGGAGCGCGTCTCCAGACTTGCCTGCTTTCTGCTGGTAACCCTCTGCTCGACACGTTTGTGATGCTGCTGTTGTGCTTTGTAGATCTGCAGTCCAGCTCAGCTGCAGGCAGTGCTGGTGGCGCAGGTGGGGGCGGCGGAGGCAGCAGCGGTGGTGGAGGAGGAACCCAGAGCACTGCCAGCCCCGGAGGGGTCTCCCAGCACCTGACTTACACATCCTACATCCTCAAGCAGACTCCCCAGGTCTGCCCGTTCGTTCCTGATCTTTTTAGTCATCATGCCGTCTGGGGTTGCCCTTAGTTATAGCGGATTTACTGACATTTTAGCTGTGTTACAAATCTGTTACTTGGGGGTTGATTTGTTTGAGAGATGAGGAAACAGATTCAGGAAGGCCTAAATAACTTATCTCAGATATCCCTGCTAAGCTAATGCTAGAGCTTGCGTTTAAGCCCAGATGTTGCTGCCTTGAAGAAAAAGTCCCATATTCCTCGCCTCCCAAATCTAGGAGGTAATAAGTACTGTTAATGTACAGTTGGAATTTTATTCTTGGAAGGACTTAACCAAAGCAATAGTATCAAGTCGTGGCATTTGAATTAGGTTGGATTCAGTGATTTTCACTGAATTGCAGAATGAAGGGGGGAGACTGTTACAGCTTGCAGCTTGTACCTTGTGATTTAAACAGAGCAGTCTTAACAAGTTCCTGGGATTGTTTGTTTCCCCCTAACTTAGGGCACATTTTTAGTTGGCCAACCCTCACCCCAGACATCTGGAAAACAGCTGGCTGCTGGGTCAGTGGTCCAAGGAACGCTGGGAGTTGGCTCCTCTTCTGCACAAGGACAGCAGACATTGAAAGTTATCTCTGGGCAGAAAACCACTTTGTTTACACAGGTAAGTACACCCCCGCACACACTCCTAGCATGTGATTGTGGCATTTAGCTACTATTTGCAGCTTGTGCCTTAACAGACTCCTTAAGTTCAAAAGAAACTAATGTTACATAAGAAAATGAATAACAAAAAAGTATAGAAAAATAAGAAAAGATCTTAAGGTTTTGGAAAATATGAGTAAGGAAGTAAGGCTGAGTGTTATTCATATACACACACAGTGGGTTCCTGTACAGTTAATAAATAAGGTGTAAATTTAACAACAAAAGCAAAAGGAAAAACTTGATCGATTATTTTTTTTAAAAATCACTATTTGTCTAAAATTTTAAATTTGTGATTTTTTTAAAAATCACACTATTCGTTAAAAAATCACACTATAAAACGTCTTTGATGGGACTTCATATAAGAGACCTTGAATAGTGTAACAAATGATTTTAGTCACGATATCTATTCAGTGAGTGTTCTAGCAGGCTTGGGGACATGTTTCTTCATTTGTTTTGTACTGCTGGGGATCAAACCCAGGGCTTTGCACATGCTAGGCAAGTGTTCTCCCTCTAAGCTATGTTCCCTGCCCTTGGGGGATGTTTCTGTAGCATTTTTTGATATCGCAATGACAGAATTTTGATTGAGTGAGGGACATCTTAATCATCTACAAAGATCCTGTTGCTCCATCTACAGAACTTAGCAGATGAAGCAGGCAAAGATGCAGAAAGATACACTACAGTGTGACACCGTTCCCCACAGACCGCACGTCCCCCATGTCTGCATGTCATTAGCATTTCTCCAAAAAGGGACTGTTCGGTTTTTGTCAGATACATTTTCTGTGTCTGATGAGCTGATCATGTTTTCTTTTTTCTAATTTGTTAATCACATTGATTGCTATTTTTTCTTTTTAAAAAATGTTATTAGTACGAGTTTGCAGTACCTGACATTTACATTCACCTTAGGGAGTAGGTGCATGTACATAACCCAGCTTGATTCTTTCCTAAATTCCCTTCCTAGCCGGGTGTGATGGCACATACCTGTGATCCCAGCACTCAGGAGGCTGAGGCAGGAGGATCGTTGTGAATTTGAGACCAGCCTGGGCTCCAGAGTGAGCTTGAGGCCAGCCTGAACTGCATAGTGAGACCTTGTCTCAAAAGACAAAAAAATACAAATAAATAAGTAAATTCTCTTTCTGTCTACCTCCTTCTCTAAATTCCCTTCCCTCATTTTCATTCTTGCTGTTATTATATTTAGTTCATAGGTATGACATACAATGTTTACATTCATTGTGGGTATGTGGTACATATAAGTGATACATCGTACATCTTTTTACTCCATCCCCACCCTGCCCTCCTCCTCCTGGGGCCCTTCCCATCTGCAGAAGATCATCTCTGTTCCCTTCTGCCACTTGCTTATTTTGCTCTTTATTTGTATTTCACTTTACTCAAATGGGAGCTCTCAGGTGGTATTTTTTTAATGACTTAAGGAAATTTATTTTATTTTATTTTTATTGTAAAGAAAAAAAAAAAATTCCAAAACAATATGATAGGAGGGTAACTGTGGTCAACACATTACATATTGTTATCTTCAAATCAGTTAGGGTACAAGCTATCAGCATTTAATTGTCCAAACAATATTAGCACAAACCTATCCCTTCAGTGAACTGAGAGATAATCAGCAGCATAATTATAACTCTTATCTATACTTGTATATAATTTTTTCCTTTCGCTTTTCCCTTCTGTTTTCTCTTTCTGCTAAACTATTTTTTCTTTCCTTTTGAAGTTTCTTCCCTTTTTATAATATCTATTATATATTTTGGATCATATTTAATCTTTCAGCTTCTCACACTGGGGAGACAATACGATGTTTACACATTTGTGTCTGGTTTATTTTACTTATGAGTATGGTCTCTAGTTGCATCTCTTTACCTATGAAAGTCTCCATTTCATCATTCTTTATAGTTGAGTAATACTCCGTTATATAAAAAGGTCACATCTTTTTTTTTCTTTTTTTTTTTTTTGAAGATCACATCTTTTTTATCCATTCCTTAGTTGATGGACATTTGGGTTGTGTCCAAGATGTAGCTATTACACATTGTGCTGCTATAAACATGGGTGCACATACATCTCTGTGGTACAATATTTTTATTTTTTCTGGGAAGATACCTAGGAGGGGAATAGCTGGGTCAAATGGGACCTCCAATCCTAGGTTTTTGAGGAATCGCCACACTGATTTCCACAGTGGTTGCACCAGTCTGCACTTCCACCAGCAGTGGAAAAGCGTTCCTCTTCCCTACCAGCATTTGTTATTGGTTAATTTCCTGGTGGTAGCCATTCTTTCTAGGGTGAGATGGTATCTCAGTATTGTTTTAATTTGCATTTCTCAGACAAGTGATGATGAACATTTTTTCATATATTTATTTGCTGTTTGTATTTCCTCATTTGAAAAGTATGTGTTCATCTCTGATGCCCGTTTTTTGGATGGGGTCTTTAAATTTGGGAGGGCTGATTTTTTTTTTTTTTTTTAGTTCTTTACATGTTCTCAATAGTAAACGTATGTCTTAAGGAACATCCGGCAAATATTTTTTCCTACATTGTGGGTTGTCTTTTCACTCAGTTGGTAGGTTTTTCTTGCTATACAAAAGCTTTTTAATACCATGAGATCCCAGTTGTTGATTCTTTGTGATAATTCCTGTGTGATCAGGGTTTTATTCATAAAGTCTTTTTCTACACCAATGTCTTCAAGAGTTTGACTTGTTCCATTTTCCAGCAGATTTAATATTTCTGTCTTAATATTTAGATCTTTGATCCATTTCAGATGTAGTTTAGTGCATGGTGAAAGATGGGTCCAGTGTTAATCTTTGACATGTGCAGAGCTAGTTTTTTATCACCATTTATTAAACATGCTGTCTTTCTTCCAGTGGATGTGTTTGGCTCCTTTGTCAAATATAAGATGGCTGAATATGTCTGGAGTTGTTTCTGCATCTTCTAGTCTGTTCCACTTTTTATGCCAGTACCACACTTGTTTGTTTTGTTTTCTTTTGTTTTTTATCACAGTAGCTTTATAATTTCAAGTCAGTGATTGTGATGGCCCCTGACTTGCCTTTGTTACCCAGAATTGCCTTTGCTGTTTGAGGTCTCTTCTGGTTTCAAGTGAACTTTAGGGTTGTTTTCTCTAATTCTGTGAGATATGCTGTTGGAATTTTGATTGGAATTGCATTAATTCTGTATAGGTATTTTGACAGTATGACCATTTTCATTATACTGATTCATCTTACCCAGGAACAGGGGATATCTTTTTCCATTTTCTGATATCTGCTTCAGTCTCCTTTTTCAGAGTACTGTAGTTTTCAACATAGAGGTCCTTTACATCCTTCATTAGATTGATTCCTAGGTATTTCATTTTTTTTTTTTGGATGCTATTGTGAAAAGTGGTATTTCCCTAATTCCTCTCAGTGAGTTTGTTATTCGCGTCTAGGAATACTACTGATTTTTGAGTGTTGACTTTGTATCCAGCTACACTACTGAATTTGCTTATTAAATTTAGCAGTTTTTTAGTGGAGTTCTTGGGATTTCCTGTGTAGAGTATCATATCACCTGCAAATAGTGGTAATTTCATTTCTTCCTTTCCTATCATTCCTTTTTATTTCTTTATCTTGTCTAATTGCTCTGGCTAAAGTTTCCAGGACTATGTTGAGTAAGAGTGGAGACAGTGAACATCCTTGTATTGTTCCTGATTTTAGAGAGAAAGCTTTCAGTTTTTATCCATTTAGTATGATGGTGGCTGTTGGTTTGTCATAGATGGCTTTTATTAGATTGAGATAGAGACAATCTGTTCTGATTTTCTGAAGGGTTTTTATCATGAATGGGTGCTGTACTTTGTCAAAAGCTTTTTCTGCATATGATTTTTGTCCTTGGCTCTATGAGTGTGGTGTATTACATTTATTGATTTGTGTATATTGAACTATCCTTGCATCCCTGGTATAAATTCCTCTTGATCATGGTCTTGTACCTGCATCCCTGGTATAAATTCCTCTTGGTCATGGTCTTATACCTGCATCCCTGGTATAAATTCCTCTTGGTCATGGACTTGCGGCGTTCTATTTGCCAGCATCTTATTGAGGATTTTTGCATCTATGTTCATTAGGGAGATTGGCCTGTAGTTTTCTTTCTTGGTTGGGTCCTTCTCCAGTTTTGATATGAGGGTAATGCTTGCTTCCAAGAATGAATTAGGGAATATTGCTTCCCCTTCAATTTCATTAAGGAGTTTGAGAAGTACTGGTGTTAAGTCTTCTCTTAATTTCTTATGGAATTCAGCAGTGAATCCGTCAGGGCTGGGCTTTTCTTTGTTGGTAGGGTTTTTTTTGTTTTGTTTTTTTTTGTTTTTTTTTTTGTCTTTTTGAGACAGGGTCTTGCTGTGCAGTTCAGGCTGGCCTTGAACTCACTATGTAGCCCAGGCTGGCCTTGAACTCACAGTGGTCCTCCTGCCTCAGCCTTCAGAATGCTGGGATTACAGGAGTGCACCACCGCATCTGGCTCCGTTGGTAGGTTTTTAAATATATCTTCAGTTTCATTGATTGATACTGTTTTATTTAGGATATTTACATCTTATTGATTCAGCTTTGGTAATTTGTATGTATCTAGGAGTCTGTCCATTTCCTCTGCATTTTCCATCATATTAGAATACAGGTTTTCACAGAAGATATAGATGATCGTCTCAGTTTCTGCAGGGTCTGTTGTGACTTTACCCTTTTCATTCCTAATTGCATGGATTTGAGTCTTTCCTTTTTTTGATAACATCGACTATGGGTTTGTCAATTTTATTAGTTTTTCAAAGGACCAACTCTTCGATTCATTGATTCTTTGTATTCTTTTTTTAGTCTCCAATGTGTTAATTTCTGCTCTGTTTTTTATAATTTCTTCTTTCCTGTGAGCTTTTGGCTCTTTTTCTGAAAGTTTGAGGTTCAACATTAAATTGTTTATTTGTGCTTGCTCTATTTTCCTGATATGGGCATTCACTACTATAAATTTCCCTCCTAGGACTGCTTTCATTGTGTCCTACAAGTTCTGGTGTGTTGTATTGTTGTTATTTAGTTGTAGAAACTAATTTCTTCTTCAATTTCATCTGTGACCCATTAGTTGTTCAGGAGGGTGCTGTTTAATTTCCATATGTTTATGAAGTTCTTGTGGTTTCTTTTGCCATTGATTTCAAATTTCATTGCACTATGATCTGATAATATGCATGGGTTAATTTCAGTTCTTTTCCATTTGATCAAGCATGTTCTATGGGTTAGTATGTGGTCTGTTTTGGAGACTATCCCATGTGCAGCTGAGAAGAATGCATATTCTGATGTTGTAGGGTGGAACACTCTATAGATATCCACTAAGTCCATTTGTTCAGAAGTTTGGTTTAATTCTATTAGTTCACTGTTGCTTTTTTGTCTAGTTGATCTGTGTTTTTGTGATAGTGAGGTATTAAAATCCTCTAATACAGTTGTATTAGTGCTTATTTGATTTTTCATGCCCATTAATATTTTTTATATAGTTGGGTGCACTGGTATTTGTTCCATATATATTTATGATTGTTATCTCTTCTTGGATCATTCGTATACAAGGATGTAGTGACCTTCTTTATCTCTCTTAATCACTCTTAGCTTGAAATTCACTTTGTCTGTGAACAGAATAGCTACCCCTGCTTTTTTCTGAGTCCCTATGGCATAGAGTATTGTTTTCCATCCTTTGACTTCCAGTCTATGACTTTCTTTTTTAATTGAATGTGTTTCTTGTATTGAGCATATGTTGGATCATGCTTCTTGATCTATTCTGCCAGTCTGTGTCTTTTGATTGGTGAGTTGAGGCCATTGACATTGATGGTTACAACTGATATGTATTGATTTATCCTTGTGATGTTATTTTCTTTTTATTTGTTCCCCCTCTTTTTTTTGCCTCCCTCCGTTCACTTATTTGCCTTGCGTAGTGAATTCCTTTTGTTGGAGTTTATGGGTTATCATCCTTGTTTCTCCTTTCTAGAATGTCCTTCAAAACATTTTGGAGTGCTGGTTTGGGGGTCTTAAATTTCCTTATCTGTTCTTTTTCATGAAAGTATCTTATTTCTCCATCAATTTTGAAAGATAGTTTTGCTGGGTGTGGTCACACACACCTGTAATCCCAGCACTCAGGAGGCTGAGGCAGGAGGATCATTGTGAGTTTGAGACCAGCCTAGGCTACAGTGTGAGCTCAAGGCCAGCCTGAAATGCATAGCAAGACCCTGTCTCAAAAAGACCAAAAATAAATAAATAAATTTAAAAAGGATAGTTTTGCAGGGTACATCAATCTGGGTTGAAGGTTGTTTTCCTTTAGAGCTTGAAATACTTTACTCCAAGCTCTCTTTAACTTAAGGGTTTATGTTGAGAAACCAGCTGTGAATCTGATGGGCTTTCCTTTATAGTAATTTGTTTCTTTTTCTGAACAGCTTTTAATATTCTATTCTTGTGTTGAATTCCTAGAGTCTTGACTATGACATGCCTGGCTGTAGGGGTTTTGTTGTTGTTGTTGTTGTTGTTGTTATGGTCTGTTGGAATTCTATATGCCTCACAACTGTATGTCAAATTATTTTTCTGTACCAGGGAAGTTTTCTGCCATGGTGTCTGAATAGTTTTTTAATATCATTTCTCCTGCTGTTTAATTGACTCCAGTTAATCTTGTTATTCTTCTTTACCTCATCTAGCAGCTGTTGTATTGATTTCTTATGGTCTCTTGCTGGTTTTAAAAAATCCTTGTGGTTGCTAGCAGCAGGCTTGTTTTCTGTCTCTGAGATCGTGTCCTCACATTGGCTTAATCTATTGCAGATACTTTCAGTAGAGTTTTTATTCTCCTAGATATTTGCTTGAGTCTGCTTTATAGATTCCATTTCTTTCCTATGTTGAGCATTCATTGTTTCCATAAATTTTTTCAGCTCATCTATTTTCTTGTCTGTATCCACTCAAGAATCACTAAGCGTGGTTTTCATTGTGGACACCATCTCTGCGGTTATCTGAGAGGTTATTGCTGGTTTGATTTTTTTTCTAGAGCCTCACTCAATTGCTTTGTTTTCATGATTATAGAGAGGCCAGATGGGTGGTTTTCGGATTGTCCCACCTCATTCCCTCCTGGGTTTGCCTTTGGTGATGTTTGGGGTTGCACCTTATTAAGTGTTCCTCATTTTCTTTTCTTTTTCTTTTTTTTTTTTTTTTTTTTTGTCTTTTTGAGACAGGGCCTCATTATGCAGTTCAGGCTGACATTGAGCTGACTTTGTAGCCCAGGTTGGTCTTGAAATCACAACAATCTTCCTGCCTCACCCTCCTGAGTGCTGGGATTACAGACATATGACATGATGCCCAGCTCTTTTCTTTTGTCTGTCTTTTCTTTTTCTTTCTTTTCTTTCCTTTTTCTTTCTTTCTTTCCTTTTTCCTTCCTTCGTTTCTTCCTTCCTTTAGTTTAATTCTTGGGATGATGTTTGTAACAGCTGTTTAGAACAATTATGTCACTTTTACCAATAACCATAGTGTAAAACACAGCCTAGAAAATGACAAACTAAATAACCATTAATTTGTCACCTTTAACCATATGAACTGGATTTGTGGTTATGTAACAAAAGTCTAAAACAAAGCAGAAAATTATATGTAATATACAAGTCCATAATATGTCAATTTTGACCTTGGCGGTTAAAATTTAAAATGGGTTAGGGAGAAAATAGAGAAGTGGTAGAGAAGAAAGAGGTTAAAAGGCTAGAGGATGAAGGATCACACTAACTTGGGGAAGCTGGTGCAGAAGATTGGAGGGAGAAGAGGAAGAGATAAAAAGGAATTGAATAGAACCACAACCGCAAAGAGGCTAGACACCATGGTCACACTCATATAAACACAAGTTCAAACAATGAAGGAGAGAAAGAAAAAGAAACAAAAAAAAACTGTAACTACCAAAAAAAGAGAGGAAAATAAGAACAAACAAACGAAAAAGCAAACAACAACAACAAAAAATCCACTTCCAGGTTTGCCTGTTGTCACTGGTGAACAGTAGTTGGTTTATCCTAAAAATCCAGTGAGTCTGCACCTTCTGGTGGCTTGCAGCAGTCAGTGCACCTTCCATGGGCCTGAGCCCAATTGGGCGCTGCTAGATGGAACCAGAAGCCGCTCTGGGTTCTGAGCTCTATGGTCTCTCTCTAAGATGGTTCCCCGCTAATCGCTGTCTCGCACTGGACAGCCGACACCTCCTCACACACTGAGCACTGGTGCAGTCCTTCACGGCGTAGCGCAGTGTTTTACGTCCACTGCTCCCCACCACTGCTGCATCTCTCCGTGGAGGTCTCTGTGGTCACCAGCACTCACTGTGCGTTGGCAGGCTTGGACCACTCCTTTCACGCGGTGTTTCCTGTCCCGAGAAGGCACCACCAGCTACCTCCTTCTTTGTTGAAGTTTCTCTCTTCATTCTCTCGGTGGGCTTCGACTTGCACCTCAGTTCCTCCCTGGGTCTCGGGGCAGTTTGTCTCCCTATTTCTCAACTTCCCCGTGTTGTTATATTCCAGCATTTGGATGGTAGCACCTGGAGAGGTTCTCTCTCTGTTGCTTAGCACACCACCATCTTGCCCACACTCCTCCAGGAAATGTGTTTTAATATGTCTTCAAATGATCCTTATGGTGATTGTTTTATTGGAAACACATATATATTACATTCATCATAGGGAATTTGTTACCTACACAATATATCTTGAGTCTTCCTTTTTTCCCAACCCCCCTCTGTGCCTTCATCCTTTCTTCCCCTACTTGTTTACAACAGCTTTGTTTTCATTTTTATTTAAGCTTGTATGTCTGATTTATTTCACTTAGCATTGCATTTTCCAGGTTTATCCCCCTTTTACAAATGTCCCAGATCTATCCTTTTTATAGCCAAGTAGTGTTCCATGATGTAGACAGCCTGTGTTTCCTTTCTCCATTTGCCAGTTGGTATGCAGGCTGAGTCCAGGACGTAGCTATTATGCATTGTGCCGTTATGAACACTGGTTTGCATGTATCACTGTAATGTGCCTTTAGCTTTTCTTGGAAGATACCTGGAAAGGGACTGTCTGGGTCAAACAGAATTTCTAATTTCACTTCTTCGAGAAATCTCCATAGCGATTTCTGTAGTGGTTATACTAGTTTACACTCCCTCCAACAATGTAGGAGGGTTCTTTTTGCACCACAGCTGCACTAGCATTTGTTACTCTTGATTCCTTGGTGATCGCTGGGATTATAGGTATGCACCACCACACTCAGCTCAGTGATCCTATTATAAAGAATTTAAGTTAGTCTGTTCTCTATTGTTGCCAATAAATACACAAGTCTGAGTAATTCATAAAGAAAAGCAGTCTGTTTTTTGCCCTTGAATTTTGGAGGATGAAAATCCAGGATCAGGTGGCTGTGTCTGCCTGGCCTCTGATGATGACCTTGCAGCTGCATCTCTGCTCAGGGTTGGCATGGTGATAGGAGTACAAGGAAGGAGGAGAGGTCACACAGCGAGACTGGAGGCTTGCTGTGTTCTAACAGCTCACTGTTGTGCGCACTGATTCCACATAGCTAGCATCATCCCTGCTAATGGCTGTGACCTCATGACCGAGTTCCTGTCCACCTCAGGGGTCACAAGGTGCTCACTGTCACTCTGGGCCAAGCTTCCTGTACGTGTGCCCTTGAGGGACACACTTTGCAGAGCATATCCAACCCCTAGCACTTTTGTGTGTGTGTGTTTTTCAGACAGAGTTTCACTGTGCAACCCAGGCAGACCCTCCTCCCTTGGCCTCCAAAATGCTGGGGTTATAGGTGTGCACCACACCATCTGGTTCTCTAGCATTGTTTATAGGCTAAGGTGCAGAAGTACCTCCTGTAGTCACGATTAGCAAGATTTCCTTGGTTGTGTTCTCAAAGGTAGATGCGGAATAAATCGGGCCTCTTAACCTGGACACCACTACCAGTTCTGCCCATTTTGTTTCCACAGGCAGCCGCTGGGGGACAAGCGTCACTCATGAAAATATCTGATAGCACCCTAAAGTCTGTGCCAGCCACCTCGCAACTCTCAAAGCCTGGAACCACCATGCTGCGAGTAGCGGGAGGGGTCATCACAACAGCTGCTTCCCCCACCGTGGCCCTCTCAGCAAATGGGCCAGCACAGCAGGTGAGAAGCAGGATTGGTGTGGTGGGGAAAGAGCCTGAGAAAACGCAAAGTGGGATGAACATAAGGAAGCGGGCCAGCAGGCGTACCAATGTGCCTTTTCCAAGAATTGAAGTACTACTTTTTAAAGAAACCCTTTTTTTTCTTTGGCGGTACCAGGGATCAAACTCACGACGCACTTGCCAGGCAGGCGCTTATGCCATTGAGCTATATCCCCAGCCCTGAAGTACTGCTTTTTAAAAATATTCAAATAGCCATACATCATGGCACACTTCTGTAACTTTAGCACTCCAGAGGCTGAGGCAGAGGATTATGAGTTCTAGGCCAGTCCAGGCTATGTAGAAAAACGCTGTCTCTAAATGAAGGGATGAATAAAAAAGTTAAAAACAAAAATAAATTAAAAATTGAAATATAATTTATGTCCCACAGAATTTACTGCTGTATGGTATACACTTCAGTGGTGTTTATTGTATTCACAAGCTTGTGCATCTCTCCATCTGATTGGGAATGATGGTTATTGTCCCAAAAGAAACCCATAGGAAAGCACTCACTGCTTAGTGAAGGAGCGTAGCTCCTTCCCTGAGCAGCCACTAACCTTTCTTTCCTTAGCGATTCGCCTGTTACAGACTTTGCATATAAACATAGTCACAGAATGTGTGAACTTTGGAGTCTGGCTTCTTTGGTGTAGTGTAACATTTTCAGGGTCCCTCCATTTTGCAGTATATCAATACTTCATTCCTTTTTATAGCTGAGTAATATGCAGCTTTATGGATATACTGCATTTTGTTTATTCATGTATTAATCAATAGATGTTTGCATTGTTTTCTACTTTTTGACCTGTGAACATTTATGTACAAGTTTTAGTATAAACAGTGTTTTCATTTCTCTTGCCTATATAGCTAGAAATAGAATTGCTGGCCCCTACAGTACATCATGTCTAACTTTTTGAAGAACTGGCTGTTTCCCAAGCACCTGTACCATTTTTTGAAGCAAAGTTTCACTGTATAGTTCAGGCTGACCTTGAACTCACAGTGCTCCTCCTGCTGTAGCCTTCTGAGTGCAAGGATTACAGACATGCACCACCATACAAGGCCCTCCACATTCTTGTTGATATTTGTTCTTATCTTTTGGGCTTTAATTATCAGCATCTCGATGGACAGGAGATGTATTTCATTTTTGTTTTGATTTTAAATTCCCTGATAATGATACTGAACCTGTTCTCATGTACTTTCTCGACATTGGTATATTTTTGGAGAAATAGTTCATCTAGATCCTTTGCCTGTGTTTTAATTGGCTTGTCCTTTTATTACTGAACTGTAGGAGGAGAATGGATGGATGATCAGGTAGGGTTTTTTTTGACAGGGCAAGGTATTGGACCCTGAGCCTCATGCCTGTATACACACTATCCCTGAACTACATCTCCAGACCTTTTAAAATTTTTATTATGAGACCCCGTCTTGCTAAGTTGTCTGGGCTGGCCTTGAACTCATAATCCTGCTTTAGCCTCCTAAGTAGCTGCTTAGGCACACCCTGTATTCATGATTCAGGTCTCCTACCAGACTTGGAAAAATTTCCTCCCACTCTGGATTACCTTTCACTTTCTTGATGGTACCTTTTGAACTGTAAAAGTTTCTAGTTTTGCTGGGCATTGTGGCTCACACCTGGGAGGCTAAGGCAGAAGGATTGTACATTTGAGCCCAGATTGAGCAACTTAGTGACTTAGTAAGACCTTGTTTCAAAATTTAAAAACAGCCAGGCACAATGGCCCATATCTGTTTTCTCAGCGTTCGGGAGGCTGAGGCAGGAGAATGGCTGAGTTCAAGGCCAGCCTACATAGCAAGACCTTGTCTCAAAAAATCCAAAACATTTAAAAAAAGAACTGTGATATAACTCAGAGCAGAGGCCCTGGGTTCAATCCTCAGTACCACTACCACTAATAATAGTAATAATAATAACAATAATAATATTATTTTTAAAGGATTTTGATATAGTCCTACTTAGATGTTTCTTTCATTGCTTGTCTTTTGACATCACAGGTGAGAAACCATTACCTAATAAAGGCTCACAAAATTTAAGCCTATGGTTGCTTCTCTCTCACGTTTAGGTCTTTGATCCATTTTGGGTTGACTTCTATATGGTGTGAGGTGGGAACCAAGTTTCATTCTTCTGTGTGTAAAATACCCAGTAGACCCAGAACTTTTTTTTTTTTTCCTCTTTTTTTAGTCTTTTTGAGACAGGGTCTTACTATGCAGTTCAGCCTGGCCTTGGGTCACTTTGTAGCCCAGGCTGGTCTTGAACTCACAATGGTCCTCCTGCCTCAGCCTCCCGAGGGTTGGGGTTGCAAGTGTGTGCCGCTATGCCCGGCCCAGAACATTTTTTGAAAGGACTCTTTCCCTGTGAATTGTCTGCGAACCCGAAGACTTTCATGATCTGCCTGCTAGCTTCTCCAGCTTCTTCACATGCAGCTCCTGCTTCTCACCGGCCTGCTTACAAGTCCTGCCACTCTACTTGCAGTTCCTCCACAAACCGTGTCCTTTTATTCGTGATTTTCTGTGTGCCGTCTTCTCCCTTTCTCTGTCCTGACTCTTGAAGGGTCCTCTACAGTGCCGCTCATCTTACCTGGAACTTCTCCAGTGCCCTTACCTGGCATCCCTAGGTGGCAGCGCAGCGCTCCGTCTTGGGTGACTGCTGTGCGCCGTGGCTGCCGTGGCGCTGATCACACTCAGTGACCCTCTCCGGCTTGATGCCGTCCACCTGTGAAGCCTGACATTGACCGGGGTGCTGCCATGCAGATGGCTCTCGGATGAAGAGATAGACTAAAACGTTGTAGTGAAATTTTCATGTGTGATTTTATTTCATTTACATTTTTTTTTTTATTCTGAGAATATGCCCCTCGACTTTTCTTGGTGGTGAAATAGCCTTTTATAAAGTGATGCAAGTGGTGAATTTTTCTTAAATTTTCTTAATGTGCTAACCCTACGATACTCCCTCCACTTCCATGAAATCTAAAAGTACCGGGTAGAGAAGTGTCCCTCTCCAATCGGTATGACGTCCATGGTAGGTGGAAGCATCTAGTGGTTTGTATTTACTGTGCTGCTTGACAGGCACTGTTCTAAGAAAGTTACGCTGTTTTCTTCTTCACTGCCTCATTTCTCACCCTGTGGGTGAGCAGTCAGAAGGAACTGTCCCCAGCTCTGCATCTGCTGTCGGTTCTGTGATGAAAACTGCGGGGCAGACGCAAGTGTGCGTGAGCCAGGCCGCCGTGGGAACCTGCAAGGGTGCGGCTCCCACCGTGGTCAGCGCAACATCCCTGGTGTCCACCTCGAACCCTGTCTCTGGGAAGGCCACAGTATCAGGTCAGTCGCATCACATCATTTCTCAGTGTCTCTTTCTGGGCCACAATCTTTGAAAGATCTTAAACAATGTAATAAGCTATTTAAAAACAACCCAGAGCTGGGCATGGTGGGAAACGCCCGTAGTCCCAGCTTGTTGGGAAGCAGGAGGATTGCAGGTTTGGGGGGCCGGGTTGGGCAGCCTAGCAAAGCACTGTCTCAAAAAGTAGAAAGGGCTGGAGATGCAGCTCAGTGGCAGAATGCCGCTGGGTTCAGTCCTCAGTGTCACAGAAACTAATAAAAATTCTTCAGTTCTAGCTTGAACAGTAATTTTTAAACGATATAATAAAACCATAGCCACGGGAATCCTACTGGGTATTTTATTTTCATGGTGTAATTTCATGGAGAGTTGAGAGGTTGTTCTCTTTAAAGAACCTGTTTCTTTTTTATTAATGACTAATTTTGAGTGGAACTCATTGCAAAGCATAGCATACATTTCTTTGCTCTTGTAAATCCTTATGCTATCTCTTTGCCTGCACTAAATAGCCCCCCAGAAATGTGCCTCTTACTTTGAGTAGCCTGGGGACATTCTGAGGCCAGATTGCCTGAGTTTAAGTAACTTGCTTCAGGTCTCACCTGTAGAGGGGGTTGATTACACCTACCCCATGAGAGCTGGGGCGGGGTTACACGGGCCATTGCACACCTGTGCCGGATGCTGTCTGGTTTACAGTGGTGACGACATAAATCACTGCTGCCATTGTCATCCTCATCGCTGCCACCATTTTGTTTTTAGCCTGTGATCACTTATGTACAGTTCTAAAATCTGAAGAGGTAGACAAACCAAAGGTTACATTTTTCATAAATAATTCTCACAGCAATGTCAAACTGTTACAAAGCTTCTAAATCTTAATTTCTGTGTTAATTCTTGTTATACATTGGTAACCACCGCTTTACCTTCTGGCACTGGTCTGCAGAGTTTTACTCGTACACCACATACTTCCTTTGGGTCTTTTTTTTTCTTTTTCTTTTTAGACAGGGTCACCCTGTACAGTTCAGGCTGGCCTTGAGCTCACTTTGTAGCCCAGGCTGTCCTCGAACTCGCAAAATCCTCCTGCCTCAGCCTCCCAAGTGCTGGGATTGCAGGCATGCACCACCACACTTGGCTATGCCTTTGGATAAGAAGTTGTAGATGTTATTCTGAATGTGACTCCAGGCCAAGCCCCTGTGTCTTACCCATTTTTTGGATAGAGAAAAGAATAAATTTTTCCATAATTCCCACCTCCCAGGTGGAATTGGCCAAGCAGTAAATGGAGATTTCCTGCTTTTAAATTCTACTTTTCTAAGACATTGCCGATAAACTTTCTGTGTAACATTTTGAAGAAGGACAAAACTATTTCCTGTAGACAACCAGCAGTTTTTAAATTAAACTGTGTGTGTTTTAATTGCTCTAAACAAACAGTCACTATTAGAACTGTGCAGTGGAGTGTGCAAGGGGTAAATAAATACCAGGAGATGCGGTCAGACTCCCGGGCCTGGGAGGCCACAAGAGGGAGCTGGGATCCGGCTTCAGGAGGGGCAGCGGTCTGCTTCCCTTCTGAAAGGACTGAGTGTGAAAGCAGGGATAGACCAAGGCCTCGACACTGAGTAGGAACATTCCCTGATGACCTGGCAGAGAGCTCCAGCCAGACTGAAAGGAATTTTCCAGAAAGAACAGTGAGAGGAAATGGTCCCTGAGTGAAACACATTTCCCCCAGGATTGAAGGGTAGGAACTTGGAGGTAAAAGGGTGCAGTGTATAGCATGCTGAAGGAAAGAGGCCCACACCCAGGCGCAGTGTATTGAGGAAGTCAAAATCCGAGGAGTAAAGAGAAGACCTTGAAAGAGAAAAAAAAAGGGAAATTTTAAAAATTGTGTTGCAATATCATTGAGCTTCTCAGTGGCAATGCTGCAAGCAGAAATAGCACTTTTCAAAATTTTACAGGAAAATTACTTTGAGTAGAAGTCAGTAGTCAACAAGATAATTACCTGAGTGAAGGTAGGTGATCTTCTGATGAAGATACAATGTCTTTCCTATATGCTGTATCCAGACATTAGCAAAGCAGACAGCTTACCAGAATGGAGAATGGTAAAGCAAAAAATAAAACAATAGAAGAAGCCAGCACAGGAGGCGGGCAAAGGGCAGCAGTGAGGGAAATTCCGGGCCTGAGGGCTCGGTGGCAGACTCAGAAGGCACAGGCCAGGGCAGAGCAGGGGCCGCCCCAGGGACATCTGTCCTGACACGTGGGGCTGTAAGCTGAGTTGTGACGTGGAGACAGTTGTACAGAGGGGGCTTACAGAGCTCTTGGGGGAGGTGGAAAAACGTGGGAAGGTTTTGGAAGAAAACTAAATTTTCAAGCAAAATACGAGGAAATTATTAACTCCAGGAAATACAGTGGAATCAGTGCCATAGTCTGAGGATCCCACTTCTTAGGATCAATAAAGAACAGCCCTGGCCTGTAGGGAAGAGGGGAAGGGCTCCAGGAGGCCAGCTGCCCAGCAGCAGCTCAGGAGACAGGAAGAGCTGGTGGACCAAGCCCTGCAGTGCTCACTCCCGCATGCCAAGGTAGACCCTGACAGAAAGAACCGAAAGCGTTCCCAGCGGGTGCTGCTGGAGCCAGCTCAGGCTTACAAGGTGGAGGGAGGTGCCTAGTTACAAGCCCTTTTTGTCCTTTCTTTTCAGCTGCTCAGATACAATATTTTGATAGGAATTATTAAAATACAAAAACATCAGAATCGTGGTCCTCCCTGAGAGCATGTCTCAGGAAGTCACCTTGACTGGTGCTTATTCCGCAGTTCCAGGAGATTTTCCTATTTACTGAAGGCCTGTTCTAGAAAGTATTAATAATCATTCTTCTCCCTCTCTCAAATCTGCTGCTTTTGCTCGGCTACTCACAGGCACTGCTGCTGGTTTTAGCAGTGACCACGTTGTGGTGTTTGCATCTGGTGTTCTCTTTCATAGGGAAGGCCCTTTGTAGCTAGGTGGGGTTTTTTCTGGCCTGATGCAGATGAGATGATGGAAACCACCTCTACTGTACAGTGAGAGCAGAGGACCCTCTGTAGAATGACAGAGAACATCTGACTTGAAAAATGAGGGCTGCCCAGAGGTGGAAAATACAAGATAATGAGTGTAGACAGGTTGAGGTATGTAGATGTGTAGGGACCAGGTTAAAGTGGACTCTGAATAATTTGAAGCTGATTTTGAAAGTATTCTTTAGGGAATTGTGAGCCAGGATAGGTTTTTAAGTAGTAGAGTTTCTACATCAAAATACAAAGTTTCATATCCAGTAAGTGCACATCACAGCCATATACAGACTGTCACAGCAAATAAACATGGAGAATTATTTCAGAATGTTAATACTGATGCCTCTGTAGTAGGGCTTTCGGTGGTGTTTTTGTCCTTTGACTTGTTCATGAAATTTTTTTATTACTTTGTGATATAGGACAGGAACAGTTTATTAATAAATCATTCCTGTCACATCACTGCTTCATTGTGACATTTGCGGTATCTGTGGACCCCCGCTTCCGGTTCTTTATTTACTGAATGAGTGAATGTTCTGGAACTTTCTCCTTGGAGAAAATACAGTGGCAGGGCAGGGAATGTAAAAGAACCATCTGTCTTCACCTTGGCCTTATCTTCCAATCTCCTGTAGGATTGTTGAAGATTCACTCCAGTCAGTCCAGTCCGCAGCAGGCTGTCCTGACGATTCCTAGCCAGCTCAAACCCCTCAGCGTGAACACCTCTGGAGGTGTGCAGACGATACTGATGCCTGTGAACAAAGGTGTGTCCCGCCCCCCGGGCCTGTCTCCGGTCACCCTTGAGAGGAGCTCATGCTCTGGCAGCTGGCAGTGGCCCTTGCCTTGCACAGCCTGTCCTTTGCTCCTGAGCCACAGCCCTGGTACCTTGAACTTCAGGGCTAAGTGCGCAGTCTGTTGGTTTCTAGATAGCAGCTCACTTCTAAAGTTGAATTAAGGGGGAGCGTGTTCAGCATTTGTGGGAGTTTAAATTTATTGGCTTTGTATTTGCTTAGGTTATTGGGAAGCCTCCACTTCCACAGTGGAGGATACATGTAGCTCAGTTACTCCAGTGCTAATGATAAACAGCCACGTGTCTCAGATCAGGATAGCAACAAATGACCTCAGCCATTCCCCTTGGCATGAGGCGGCTCCGTTCATGAAGATACGGGGCTGCCAGGTAGGAGTTAGGACAGCTCATTGAAAACAATTTCTGTTTCTGTTTTATCCTCCTCCTCCATGCCCTTCAGTGGTTCAGTCCTTTTCTACCAGCAAGTCACCTACCATCCTGCCTGTAGCTGCCCCAGCTCCAGCTGTGCCCAGCGCTGCTCCGACACCTGTTACAAAAGGTACGCAGGATCTCAGTATTTTTGTCCCAGAGTTTTATGCAGGGTATTACTGTAATCTGTCTGAGTCCTTTGAATTTTTACCATCTGTGAATCAGTCACTTGATAAATAGGTACTGACTGCTTATCTAGTAGACATGACATTGAGGGAAATAGAGAATGATTTTTGCCTCCAAAAATTTGTAAGCAGGTTGAAGGGAATTGCAGTGAGCAACAAGCAGTGATTGATAAGCGGTCTGGAAAGTGATTGCTGAAATGCTGCCATCCAGGGCGTCCGATCGAGGTTGTCGGGGTACAGAGGGGGTGAGACCTGGTGTGGGTATGGCTTTTACACCAGATTTGAACCGAGTGAAGCTGCCTCCTGTGGAGGGGCTCACGTGTGGCAGGTTGAGGGAACAGTAGAGGCAGAGACTCAGAGGGCTTGGTCAGAGAGGTGACCCGTTAGGGACCCACTGGGGGAGCGTAGATGACACAGAGAAGCTCTAAGTAGGGGCCAGGCTGGCAACCTGGCAGGGGACCTTCCTGACCACAGGCACAGTCCAGAATAAAGTAACACAGTGGGTCAGAGCAGCACAGTGCCTTCCATAACATATCCAGAAATAGCGAAAACTGTTTCGGGCTTGCGTTTCAAGCCCGCAGTGGACCAGGCCCTGCTAGCTGCTTTGTATGTATATATCACCCGTTCTTACTCCAGGGCTTAAGCAGAGCTGTTAAGTCCACTGTGCAGACGAGGAAGCAAGTTTGGAGATTCTGAATATATACTTCCCAGGTCTAGAAAGTTAGTAGTGAAGTTGGAGTTAGAAATAACATCTCCCCTGCTGTGCTTTACTGCTTTGAAGGTATGTCGGGCTCCCGTGGGAAGAGGTAGATTTGTCATTTGCTAAATGGTGATCAAGGTCCACTGCCTGGTTTTGTAAGTAAAGCTTTTGGCACATAGCCAAGCGCACTCATCCACACACTGTCTCAGTCACAGAGTTTAATTCCCACGGAGGGTATACGACCGCAACCCTAAGCTGTTTACTGCGTAGCCCCACGTAGGGAGGAGTTCGAATCCCCCGTTAGAAGAGAGCTCGAGACAGTGTTGGTGTCTGACTGGACCAGTGCTTCTTGGAGAGACCTATCATGACCCACCTGACTCAGATTCTGATCGAATTTTGGATTAGGACAGCAGCTCTGTCTTGATTTTGATGAGAGTAAACTGTACAGTGAAATATGAAAATATTCAGTGTACCATTGGATGAGCTGATAAGTGTACAAACCCATGTAAGCGGCACCCCATCAAGATACAGACGTTTGCATGGCCCCTGCGTACCCCTTCCCTTCCCAGCCTCCATAGACGCTGCTCCTGGTTTCTGCTACCGTCTAGCTCCCTTCACGTGACACGGTGCTTCTGCAATTTTGCGCTGAGTGCCACATTGTTCTACATTGCCTAGTTCCCTGGTCTACATTAGAGGGGTACACACTGAAGAAATTCATCTTTTTTCCTGATGAGGGACATGAGATTTGTTTCCAGTTTGGGGCTGTAACATGTAAGGTTTTTTTGGTTTGTTGAAACGGTCTTGCCATGTAGTTCAGGCTGACCTTGAACTCTCAGTGATCCTCCTGCCTCAGCCTCGCAGTGCTGGGATTAAAAGTGTGCACCACCACGCCCGGCACATGTAAGTTTTTGAAAGTGTAGTTTCACTGCTTTAGTAGGAGAGCTGCCCAGCCTGAGAAGGCTGTGATGATATAGTCCTGTGATTGTTCAAATGCTGCATGGAAGTGAGTAGACTTTAGGACTGGAGAGTCTGAGCTTTGTCTGGAGAGTTCCTTGTTTCTTGAAGTCTCAGAATTACTAGGAGTTAAGGAATGTGTACTTCTACAGGGAAATTACCAAGGTCACTTAAGTCAGTACAGGTAGAATAATTTGCATGCCTGTCTACACAACAGTTAGAGAATACAATTTAAAGAAAACATTTATAGTAGCACCAAAAATACCAAACATAGGTTAATAAAAATAAGGAAAGCTGGGACAATCTGCTAAACATTTGTGAGAGAAATTTAAAGGATTTAAATAAATAACATGGATATATCATACTTTATTGGAAGATGTGACATATTATCAGCTCTCCCCCCAAAAAGGATGGATTCAATACAGTCTTAACCATAATCCCTATAGTATTGGCAGTGACAGTAGGGTGCATGGGGGGTGTTTGTGTGTAGAAACTGAGTAGTTTAAAATATGTATGAAAATACTAGAGATTGCCAGCTACAGTGGCACACACCTGTAATCCCAGCACTTGGAGGCTGAGGCAGGAGGATCACCCTAAATTGAAGGCAGCCTGGGCTAGGTAGTACATTCAGGGCCAGCCTGAACTACATAGGAAGACCCTGTCTCAAAAAACAAAAAACCAAAGACCTAAAATATCCAAGGCAGTCATGAAGAACAAAAAAGCAGGAAAATTATTCCAAACATATACATGTATTATACAGCTATGGTACTTGAAATAGTCCAAAATGGGCTCAAGAATAGACATTTAAAAAAAAAAAGAACAGACCAATTAGGCTGGGCATGGTGGTGCACGCCTGCAATCCCAGCACTCAGGAGGCTGAGGCAGGAGGATCATTTCGAGTTTGAGACCAACCTAGGCTACAAAGTGAGCTCAAGGCTAACCTGAACTGCATAGCCACATCCTGTCTCAAAAAGACCAAAAA